GTTGCTGCACAGTGGACCATGAGTAACCTGTGAAGGATCACTCTACCATGTGACCCAGGTTCAGAGTCTGGGTTCTGTGGAAACTGACCCGGAATGCCTGGTCCTCTGGGTCACTGGCAGCCCAGCGCCAAGACAAGGTGTGTTTCCCTGAGACACAGGCAAATGCTGGAAGTCAGTCCTGTGGGCTGTTGCAGGTGCCATCTTCTGGGCTTCTGTTGGTGATGCAGTCCCTGCCTGTCCCCAACTACTCTCCCTGCGACTGGGGAAGTCAGCTCACTGAGGAGTCAGAACAAGACCAGTGTTTCTGAGGATGTGGTGTGGTCAGGGTCTGTGGAAAAGGGAGGAATGGGTTTGGCTGTCTTCTACGGTTCTACTGTCTGCTGCTCTGCCTGACTGCAGCAGTCCAGTCCTGAGTGCCTGACTGGGGGTTAACTTCTCCGCCATATCTTTCTCCCTCTGCTATAGCCCTGCAGAGTTGGGGGGACACTGTCATCATCCTCTCACATACCCTCCTGAATACTTCCTAACACCTGTGGTGGTTTGAATGAAATGGCCCCCAGGGACTCATAGGGAGAGGCACTATTAGGAGGTGTGCCCTTGTTGGAAGAAGATGGGGGTGGCTTTGAGGTTTCAGATGCTCAAGCCAGGTCCTGTGTCTCTCTCTTCTTGCTGCCTGCTGAATCAGACGAAGAACTCTCAGCTACCTCTCCAGTACCACTTCTGCCTGCGTGCCACCATGCTTCCTGCCATGATGATAATGAACTAAACCTCCGGCCCTAATTAAGTAAGAGTTGCAGAGGTCATGGTGTCTCTTCACAATAACAAAACTACTCATCAGAAAGGGTGCTTAGAATCCAAGGAGCCACAGAGGTCTGCCATGGTCTTGGAGATGAGGAGACTAAAGCAAGATTAGGGAAGGGGCATCCCCAAAGGCACATGGCACTGGAGGGTCAAGTGGTGCTAGAATAAAGAGATGCTTCCAGGCAGGGAGGTGGTGTCCCCTGCCCCTCACCCCAGGTGACCTGTGTGTGCAGAGCCTGAGGCAGGAAGAGCTGGCACTTGATCAGCCCGTTACCGTGTCTCTTAGCAACTGACTGCACCATCTCCACAGAGCCCTTGCTATTCCCTGGGAATGTGTCTGTGTATCCCTTGTCTGGCCTCAATAGTCAGAGATTGGTAAAAATGAAGCCGGGCCCTGTCCTCCCAGATCAGGGCCTCGGCTTGTTCACAGGCTTCAGCACATGGCTTGCCCTGCTGGACTCACCCTGCTCTGGCTCCACCGGTCCTAGACAGTTCATGATGCGGGAGGCATGCCCCAATCTCAGGGCCTTTGCACACGCTGCTCCTGCTCTCTGAACTGCCCTCACCCCCAGATGTGGGCGTGGCCCTCTCTCACCTGCTTCAGGTCTTTCTCAAGGGAGCCACCCAGTCCCCCAGCCCCAGGCGGCCTGCGCTCTCGTTCTAATCACGTAAGGTGCCACTCATCTAATCCTCCGCCATTCCTGCTGGCCTCTGAACTCCAGCTCAAGAGAGGAGCTCTATTATTCTCTGCTGCCCTGTAGTTCCTGGGATGCACACAGCACATGGCATGCACCCCAAAAGGATTAACAGGAAGGAAGGAAGAGGAGGGAGGGAACAGACAGGCTGACAGCTAGGTGACGCCCGGCAAACAACGTCTGGAAGAACCAGGTCAGAGGACAGAGGACAGTGTTCACAACACCACACAGAGGCAAGCAGGCCAGGGACCCTGTCCAGTAAGCTGTGTGACCTGGGATAAGCTGCTACCCCTCTCTGAGCTTCTCTGTAACAGGAGGGCCTTAGTGCTCATGGCCATTGGGAATGCCTCAGGAGACATGTTTGAGAAATGCTGGGGCTGGACCTTAGAGAACACACCACAAGTCCTAGCTGCTATAAAGGCTCCGGCATTCACACGGGCTGAGTTGTGAGCTAAACTCTAGGGACCCTGCAGTGACCCCAGACATGGTCACTTCCCTCAAAAACTGGTGACCTCATGGGGCTACTGACCACAGCTCTCCTGTTCACTAAAGTACGATGAGGCAAGAGCTGGATGTCGTCTCCCAGGGAAGGGCCACGGGAAACAGGAAGGAGAGCGTTGCAGACAGGCAGAGGCCACGGCAAACAAAGGCTGGCCATGTTCTCCACCCAAAGCACAGAAGGATTGCCCTCCTTTCCTAAACAAACTCAGAGAGGCAGAGCTACTGCTTGAGGTCACACAGCAAGTGACAGGGCCAAGCTGGGATTTGAACAGAAGTCATTCTCCACAGCCTGGGACCACTTAAGAAGTGACCAGAAGACAGACTGAACGACAAGAACACTGGGTCCCCAGATGAGACAAGTGCAGAGGTCAGGAGCAGCACGAAGGGCTAGCCCCACCTCTGCCCCCCCCCACCCCTGCAGAAGGACGGTACCTCCATCAGGTCTATAAGCCACAGCAGCCGCTCCTAGGGAGGGTGGATGGGCAAAAGGCGAAAAAAAACACATGAAATGAATGTCAGGGGATCAAGAAGCTTCAGCACAGTGAACCTTCCCCAACACACAAGCCTACTGAGGGGAATAGCGGGGTCCTCAGAGGAAGCTGGAAGGAGCCAATGCCATCCTTCCAGGGGTGTCTAGAGGTCGGTGACGTGGGGCAGATGTGGCGCCAACATTTCCATCCACAGATGGGAAAGTAGGCTGGAAAGGAGCATTTGTCCCAGGCCACACCTGCTGAGGACAGGCTGGAGACTCTGGTCCAGCAGGCTAGGTCCCCAGGGATCAGCTGCAGTCCTAGAACTGAGCCTCAGAGAGTGCGTTGTGGGGTCCCTGGGAAAGACAAAAGGGAGGGGCAGCATCCCCAGCCCAGTGCCTCCCAGAGCCTTTGAGGGTGTGCCTGCCCGGTGAGCACATCTCTAAGGGGCTGCCCAAGCGGGAAGGGCAGCGGGGAAAGCCAAGGCTGTCCGAGGGCTGTGGCCACATCCCACGGGCTCCAGTGCTGTCTAAGACAGCTTTCTTGTTCTGTTCTCCCTACAAGTTGGGAATTTAGCATAACAATCCCCCTACAAGGGAGGAAACTGAGGCACACCCATCTCAGAAGTTCCTCTCCACCTGGGGACTTGGGTATGTCCTGTTCTGACATTCCAGGGCACCCTGAATGGTCATGGATTCTGACTGGTCCCCATTTTAGAAACTGTGCAAAGGGACTTCGGGGTGCCCTCCCATTTGCCCAGAAGCTGCTTGTGCAGAACCACTCTTGATATATGATCTGCTGTGCCCAAGGTGTGCCCTGTGCACTGGGGCATTACGGGTGCTGTTCTCGGTTAACCTGAGGCAAGACTGCTCAGGGATGGGAAGGTCACTGCTGCTCTCCGCAGGGCTCTGTCCTCAGGACCTTATCCAGTTTATATATACGTGGGGAAACTGAGGCACAAGGAGACTAGGATTCAAACCCAGATTTGCTGCCTCCTGGACCTGAAGACGCTCCCACTGTGGCACTGTGCTCCTGACTGTGCAGCCTGCTACGTACAGGTTCAGCCTGTGTGTAACTCCCCGGGTTTTAGAGCTATGCTTGGTTGCTCTTCCAGCTCCACATGAACATTTTAAGGCCAAGGTCATAAGAGCTCAGACTCAGAGAAGGGTAAAATGCAGACCAGGACCCCTAGCCTGAAGTCATCTCATCATGAGGTGCTACACAGCCTGAGTTTGGGGCAAATCTAGCAATATGGGGGCAGCCTCCGTCCAGCGCTGGATCTGATCTGAAAAACAGCTGCTGGCCTACTCAGAGCCCTGGAGGGAGGCATGGCAATCTCTGGCGTCACCTCAGGAAAGAACAAGGACCCTTGAAGATGAAAGAAATGGGGTCCTCCAGACACCAGAGCTGTAGTGTTAAAGCCAGGTGAGAAACCAGAAGTCACCAGATGGCCATCAGGAGTCTCATCCCTCCTGCAGGTCAGCCTGCCATTGAGCTCACTGAGTTCTGGCTTCAGAGCCACCACTACCTCCCGCTCCTTCCAAGGACGACAACGGCAGCTTTGGGTCTCCAGCCCACCCACCTGACTCTCCCTCCTGTAAGACGTGTGGCTGTCCCCTGATAAGAAACAAGGCATTTGTTGTCGGGCACGGTAACACCTGTCAGGAGACAGAGGCCGGTGGATCTGTGAGTCTGAGGCTGGCTGGTTACAGAGGAAGTTCCGGGCCAGCCAGGACTGTATATGTCTCAAAACAAAAGAAAAACCAAAACCAACCAACCAAACAAACAAACAAATAAAAACCAAGCAAACAAAACCCAAGGCATTTGCCTAAGAGAATCCTGGAGTAGATTAATCCAGGACGAATTAGATGCTGGACTGGGAGCTGCTGAGTTGGCAGGAAAGCCAAGCCGGGCTTGGGGCTCCACAGGTCACCTCTTGTGAAACCCAGAACCACAGTTGGAACCATGACTGCCACTGTGTAAGGGCTGATCCGAAGCCAAGCATCACGCCCTCTCCATTTGATCTTCTTGTGAACTGTACTTATATAACTGTTATTGTGTCCAACTAACCTTTACATTTTTACTACATTTTTATCATGTGTGTGTACACGCATGCATGCAAGCACATACGTGTGTCTGCACATGTGTGCAGGAAGCTCCAGAAGTCAAAAGAGAGCCTCAGATCCTCTGGACCTAGAGTTGCAGGTGGTACACGTGTGGGAATCAGAGGACAGCTTGCAGGGGCTAGTTCTGCCTTTCTGCCTTAGGAGTCCCAGGGACTGAACTGATTTGGTGGCAAGCACCTTTACCCTTGGAGGCATCTTGATGGCCCCTAACTGTCCCTTAAAAAAACCTTTTCTTTGGGATCCCCAGACTGAGAGCCCCAATAGGCACATCTTTCTTACATGCCCACTGCCCCATGTCAAGCAGACAGTAGGTACTCCACAACAGCCAGGCTCTTACAGATGAGGGGCTCGAGGCTCTGTAAGGGAAAGCTGACTTTCTCACCAGGGACAGGGCAGGGGCAGCTCACCCTGGCTGAGCTGACCGTTGTGGAGGTGCCATGGCTGCCTGTGGATGAGCCAGTGTCACTGTAGGACACGATGGAATAGGTGTCTCCAGCACCAGGGCCTGGGGGCTGCCGGGCCTTCATGGACTCTATCTCTCGCCTCAGCACCAGGTGGTCAAAGCGGTCCAGGTCTTGGGGCAAGATGATGCTCCTCACCTCAGACAGGAGAGAGAACTGCAGGGGAGAATATGACAGAAGGATATTCAGCCCCTCCACCAGCAGGTGAGACCGGTGTCTTCCTTCCTTAACTCCCGTGACTCTCCAGTGTCCTCAGGGGAGCACTCAAACACAGGCCCATTATCTCCTCCTTCTCAACACACACAGGTGACAAAGTCCCAGAACTTAGTATCATATTCATGCCACAAAGACTCTGGCCGTCCTTCCCACCCCGAGTGCCCTCGTAACCCTGAGTGTCTGCCTCAGTTTAAACCTTCCCACTAGATTAAGTTACTTCTTCCTTTCAGCAGTTTCTGGCCCACAGACTTCTACCTAAGCAGGCTTCTCAAACTGGTTAGCCCCTCACCATCCCCTGAGACCCAGCTTGTGAAGAATATTCTGTGATAATGGCCACTGCACTCTGTCTCTACCCCTCTGCCCAGAAGTCTGTGAGTTTGGAGGATGGGCCGCCTTGGTCCCCGTATCTACCCAGGATTCAGTTGATCTATGTCCTTGGTGACAGGATGGGGCATAAGGCAGAGGTTACCTTGGCATGTGTGTTGAGCAATTCAAACAGTGCCATGACCAGGGCCTCCACAGAGATGGCACCACCACGGTACTGGTCCAGGTAGTACATCATGGAGGCACGCTCCGGCTCTGTCAGCAGATGTCGAGCTTGGTCATCCAGAAGTGCACGTGTCTGATTCCCCAGGCTGCTCAGGGTCACCTGGGAGCCAGCCGGGCCCTTGTAAAATCCTGGCTGGAAGAAAAAAGGACACAGGACAGCGAAGTCTAGGCTGCTCTGGAGCCAGAGGACCCGGTAGAGTCAGTACAACACTGCGGAGGGATGATCTATCTTCACATACATAAGAACCTCTCCACCCAAACCCGGGGCGATGGCACTGTGTGGCCATCTCTGGGCACGAAGTAGTCACTGGGCACTTTGATATTTGGCTCTTGCGTATCCTTGTGCCTAGGCTTCTGCACACCATGTGACCTGTGGGCTTTGCTATCTCTCTTAGTGAGCTGTAGTGATAAGAGTCCCTGCGTTTCTAAACTCATTCCAAATTACACCAGCAGTCCTCATCACGGACCACACCGTCACCCTGCCAAGAGCATCTAAAATAATCTTGAAAACACAAACTTCTTGCAATGAACTCTACACAGTGCTCACTGCCCCGGCCTCTTTCCATGGCCCCAGTCTGTGAGCACGGGTTACCTGACTTCACTCTGCTCTAAACCACACCCATTCTCTTCTTCTAGTCTTCCACTAACCCATACCCACCCCGTCCAATTGGCACAGGCTCTTGCCTTGACATGGCTCGCATCTCTCCCTCTGCTCGGTGTCCTAACTCTTCCCTAATGCCCACCTTGCCTCGATGGTTCCAAGTCTGTTTTCTAATTAGATATTTATTTGAATGCCTTGGTTTGTCTAAATTTGTGAGTCTTCCATTGGGCTAGGACATCTCCCTCACCCCAACCTGTAGAGCAGAGACCCGGAGATTTCTGTTCCCCGCCCTTATCCCAGGAACGAGCAGCGGCTGGAAGGCAGCGTGCATCTGGACAGCTGTGCAGCCTGACTGAAGCTCCCTACAGTGTGTAAGGCCCTGGGCATACTCTGTCCGGAACTGAGGGGACAGGAAGAAGCCAAGGATGTCCTACCTTATTTGTTCCTTCCTCTCTGAGGTCCCCTGGAAACCTATGGAGAGAAACAAGACCCTTCAGCACATGCTAGTACATGGAGTGGGTCACACTGAGAGGCTGAGCCGGAGCAGGAAAGCTACGCTTAGTATCTGGCGTGGGGGCACATGCCTATGACCTCAGCACATGGGAGGATCTGAAGACAAGGCCAGCCTGAGCTACAGAGCAAGTTCCAAGCCAGCCTAGGATATGTGACCCTGTCTCAAAAAACTTCGACCCACCCCCTAATAGAGCAAAAGTGTGAGAAACCACACACCCATGCTTCATGGTCACCGCTTAGAAGCTGCTGGAGGGTAGGTGGTCCCCAATGTCTACAGGAGGCGTTTAGCCTTCTCCATTAGTAATACGTTCGATATTGCCTCACCATGCAAGGTGTACTTTCTGTCCTGATGGGACCCAGAGTTCTCTGGTCGGCATGGGCATGGGAGCAACGGGGAGTTGGGAATCACGGGTGTGGGAGAATGAAAAACCTCTGGCAGGTGGTCCAGGTCAGTCATCTGGCCCCGAGAAGTGTGTGTGTGGGGGAACAGGACCGGGGGCAGGTTGTGGGACACCTCATCTCTAGCTCATATTTCCGTGAGAAAACATAGGCTTATGCTGTAAGAGTTTGTAATTTTAAGAAAAAATACACAGAAATCCAGTTTTTAAACAGGAAGTCTGATTTTAAAAATATGTTGGAAATCATTTTTTTTAAAAAAAAAATGTAGCACTATACAGAAGAAAGGAAGGAAATGAAGGACAGAAATATGACACTGTTGGGGGTGTCAGACGAGGAGTCACCAGCCACCTGGTGGAGATGTATGTTGGGGACCATGGGTGACATGGGTACATTGCTAGTGGGCACCCAGCCACCCAGCCACTACGCCTGGCTTTTGAGACTCTTTCATCCCAAGTACATCCTGGGTCCTCTCTGGCAGTATGGGATGGGGCAGAGCCTACATCCAGATGCAGCAGTAGGCACCCAGAGAGAGGTTAAGTGATTTGCTTACTGTCAGAGAATGGGGGCTCTAAGGCCTGCATTTCATCTTTCCCTGGGGATACTGAGGCTAGGAGAGGAAAGGGAAGAGCCTGTGCTCATGCCCGCGAGTGCAACGGATCTCAGGGTTGGGACACCAGGCAGAAGAGAGAGGAACACTGATTCTCAGAAGTCACCCAAGGGTCCCTGCACCCTGTGCCTGAGGCCAGACCCTGCTGAGCTGGTGGTGCTTTCCCCAATCCGGGAACTGGCAATCCACTTGGTCTGGTCCACGGTGGTACGTGCGTGGGGCAGCCTTCCAACGTCCTTCACCGTCAGGATGAGGTGCCGGGATGACTTGAGCAGCTTCACCGCCTCGTCATGCAAGATGCTGAGAAAGCTCCGCCCATTCACCTCCAGAATCTGGTCCCCAACCTGCCAAGACCCAACACCATCACATGGGCTGCCCTCATCCCAGCTCTCCGCTTGCCAGACTGAGATGAGGTTACTGAGGTTCAGAGAGGCTAAATGGATGCCTGAGGGTCACATATGAAGGAAATGATGACCCGCAGTCAGTGCCAGCCCTGAGCCCTGCTCCTGTCCTGTCTATTGACAGCTCTGAGATAATGCCAACTATGATCTTCCCCAAAGTCCATCAGTAGCCTGCCAGCTTAGAGACGAGGGTGAGATGAACCACTGCAGGATGCAGTGACGGAGTGAAGTAGACACCTGCCATTTCCATATCTGAGGCTATGCTGTTGAGATTTCTTACCTAGCACATGTTATCACACACACACACACACACACACACACACACACACGTGCACTGTATGCATGTGTGGTGCCTGGTGCCCAAGGAGGTCAGGAGAGGGGATTGGATCCAATAGAACTGGAGTTGTGGTGCTTGTGACCAACACCTGAGAACTGAGAACTGAACCTGGGTTGTCTGCCAGAGCAGCAGTGCCTCTGAGCCACCGAGCCATCTCTCCATGCCCTAACTCACATGCTTTTGTCACTTTACAATGTCAGCAACACTTTAATTTACTAAAGGAGAAAAAAAAGCGCAGAAAAGAAAGACTCTAATAACTGAGCTGCCCAGGCTCCCCTGAAGGAGTACACGCTGCTCGGAGTCTTATGACAAGCAGCCAGTTTTATTCTGTAATATAAAACAACAGACAAGCAAGCAAGTTTAAAATGAAAAGATAAAAGGACAGAGACAAAGCCATTAGCTTTCCAATAAAAGCAGATCTAAAATGAAACCAGAAGAGGCAGGGGGAAGATGCTGCACTGTGCAGTGGGGACCACTGGACCCCTAAAGGTGGGGACTCAATGGGCCTTCTCTCCCAGTAGGTTCTCCAGCCCATGGATGGAAAACACCAGGCCTGTTGTAATCTGAAGGGTAGCCAGCCCACCCGCTGACTGGTCTCAGCTAGATTTCTTCCCCTCCTTTTGAGTCTGCATTATCAATAGTGGGGGAATCAGCTGCTTGAGGGGGTGCATTTTCAGATGAGGCTGCCCCGAAGTCGTTTGTGCCACTGCAAGTAACTTCCATGAGCTCACTGGTTCATCAAACTGGATCTGGGGGGAATTGTTTCTTTGGTTTGTCACTGATGACTTATCTAGGGAAAGAGATTTGTTATTTCTCCCCAGGAAAGGCAGACAATAGGGTGCTCCCCTCAGTGTGTGGTCACAGGCCCCTCAGGAAAGGTAGACAATAGGGTGTTCCCCTCAGTGTGTGGTCACAGCCCCCTCAGGAAAGGACACTAGGATGCTCCCCTCAGTGTGTGGTCACAGCCCCCTCAGGAAAGGTAGACTAGGATGCTCCCCACAGTGTGTGGTCACAGCCCCTCAGGAAAGGTAGACAATAGGGTGTTTCCCTCAGTGTGTGGTCACAGCCCCCTCAGGAAAGGACACTAGGATGCTCCCCTCAGTGTGTGGTCACAGCCCCCTCAGGAAAGGACACTAGAATGCTCCCCACAGTGTGTGGTCACAGCACTCCTGAGGGGAACTGCATGGAAAACCTGGGTCAGTCTGGCCCAAGGCCCCTTTGTTCTTCTCCCTGCTAGAGGACCACAGGGCTTGGATTCCAACCCAGCCTACCCCAAAGCCACTTTCCTTAGCTCTGCCTGCACCAGCAGGACCTTGGCTCTGACCCAAACACCAGCTAGCTTCTTCCCCTTTCTCCACCCATGGTGGCCTCTCTCTTGGGTCTCCACCTGCTCATCAGGTGGCTCCTGAGTCAACATTTCATCTCTGTGGGCCACAGTCATCAAGCAGGAGACTGTAAACGTGGTTAAGGGCTTCAGAGACCATCAGACCCAGGTTCCAATCCTGTCCCTGCTATTTCCATGCCATATAACATAGCCCCACAACCTGTCTCCCTCCCAGTAGCTTTCACGCCCCATTTTCCTCCAGTGGACGTGAACTGGGCCTTGGCCTAGGATTGCCCTCCTTCAAATGTCTAGCTATCCCAGCCTGTCTATATACACCACCAAACTCTGGTACCACCCACAATGACAAATCTCACTCCCTTGCCAATGGCCTCCCTAGTTAGAAGACTGAGCACTGAGAATGTAGATAGCCCCCTGGGTTCCCAATAAAGAAAGAGGAACAAGGCCCAACATGGCCTTAAGGTGTTGCCAGCAAGTGCTCAGCAGTTTTCTCGTGGTGGTTTGTTCTGCCTCGGCCCACCTCTCTTGGCTACTCTGAAGTCTGGTGGTTGAGCCCAGCACAGGAGAATTGCTCATGCACTAGCCTTCCTGTGCACAGAGGGGGAAGTGACCTCCATCCATGGTCGCTAGCCCAGGGCCTGTCAGGAGGCACCCTGCATGTCATACACTGTTCCGGAGCCTGCCATGGGAGCCACAGCCAAGGCTGTACTTCTTATATTCCTGTGTTTCGTTTTCTTAAGTGTCCCTCTGCAGCTCTGACTTTTAATCTTCCTTTCCGCATACTTTACTACAGCACACAGTTTAATTAAAGGTACTTGTCTGGGGGAGCAGCAGTGTCCAGGCACGCTTCTGAGAGCCTGGCTCTGAATCCCACCAGGGGATGGCCAGGAAGAATAAGCCCATTCATAGGCATGTGAGTCTGGACTGGAAGCCAGATAAAACACCACGGATCACCTTGTTAAATGGGAGCTTCAGATAAGTGGCAAATCCTTAGAATGATGGATGAATGGCTCCGCTATCCAGGGTGTCGCGAGCGCTACTGAGTGGGCCTTCTGGCCTTACTTGGAGGTCTGCAAGTAAATGACACTCAGGATTGCAGTTCTCTGTCCTAAACAACTCATCTAGGTTTTGTCCTAACAGACTCATCTAGGTTTTGTCCTTACACACTCATAACACGGGGCCACCATACAAGACCTCGCAGTGCCCTTGTGCTGATGTGAGACACCTACAGGGAGGGCCCTGGTGGTTACTGCTTGGGCCTGGCAGGTGTAGAGGTCACACCTATGGGCCCAGGCTGCTCATGGGCTATTGTGGCTCTGAACGTCAGTCCTCCCCCTGGCTTGGACTCAGACCACTTCTACAGTCTGTGAGCAGTCCAGCACAGTGCAGGCTCAACTAAGTCCTGGTATCTATGTGCTGGAATCTCAGATTGACAGGCAGAGCCCGCTCCTTAGGACTGCTGAGTAAGCCTATCCCTGTGGGAGGAGGCTGAGGTGACAGGGCTTCCCTGTCATCCGGGTGGAGAACAGCAGGGTGCTGGAATAGGGCACAGGTCACCCAGATGGAGGCCTGCGAGCCCGGTTCCCTCATCCCCTTTTGGCTTCTTTCTCCAGGGCTAGGCTGAAAACTACCATGTTTGAGGGTTACAGTTGTCCCCTCCACGATGCCTTCCCCAGCATCTGATCTGGTCCAAGGCACCCTCTAACCCTCTAACAGTAGGAATGTGTGCTGGTTCGAATGAGAATGGCCCCCATAGGCTCATGTTTGAATGCTTGGTCTCCAGACAGTGGAATTATTTGGGAAGGAAAAGGAGGTGTGGCCTTGTTGGAACAGGCATGGCTTTGTTGAAGGAGGTGTATCACTAAGGGAGGCCTTTGAGGTTTAAGATGCTCACAGCAGACCCAGTCTTTCTCTGCCTGCAACTTAAGCATCTTATATAAGCTCTCAGCTACTGCTCCAATGCCGAGCCCGCCTGCTGCCATGCTCGCCGTCATGATGATCACACCGTTTGAAACTGTAAGCCAGTCCCCAATTAGATGCTGTCTTCTAAAAGCTGGTGTCTCTCACAGCAGTAGAACAGCAACTGCGACCGAGCTTCATGTGCCCAGAAGTTCTGTCAGTTCAGACACTGACTGCTCGTGTGCCTCACTCGGGGTGCTCCAGGGGTGGGTTGTGTCCACACTAGAGTCTTCCTGTAGGAGTCTGGCAACAACAGCACAGGAGCCAAGTGGGCTGCACCACTCTCTCAAGTATGCCCAAGTTTCAGTGTTCTCACAGGGTGTTCTAGCCGTTCCCCGGCTGAGCATGAGATTCCCCAAACAGAGACAGAAACATAAGGCTCTTCATGGCTCTGCATCTGTTTCCTTCGAAACAGAACAGATCAGTTCAGAGACACCAAAGTCACACCAAGAATGAACGAATGAGCAGCACCACGCCCACTCTCTCAGGCTCTACCTTTATCAGCCCAGTGGCAGGGGTGTTAGACAGTGGTGAGCAGGGGGGAGTTCCACCTTCCATTGCTTTCACCTATTAAGAAGCTGAAGATTACCCTCACCCTTTCAGAGAAAAGCCAGGAGCTCTGTCCATTGAGATGTGAGTCTTTCTTCCCAGTCCAGAGTGAGATGTGTGTATAACCAAGCTGGAAAGAAAGGGTCAAAATAATATGTTCACCTGAACCTACACATGGAGAAACTGAGGCTCGGCAAGGACATGGGTAACAATGGAACCAGTGCAGGGTGCTCTCAACCCTGGTCCATGGGGCAATGTGATGGAGCATTTAATATTGCTTGGCTTGTGGTGAGTACTTGACAGGAGGATGGTGAAGGATAAGTGAGGGAAGGCAGTTTTATTTTATTGGTCACCATGGCTACCCTCTTTGGGACTCTGATAAAGGAGGGGGGCTGGGCCATAGGAATGCTGTTCATTTCACGGCGTAGGGAGACCTGCTCCATCACCTCCAGGCCACCAGTGGCAGGCTATGTTCTAGTGCTCTGAGAAAATGAGACACACAGGCAGGGACAGGGCATTACTTTCCTCTGAATCAGGACACCAGGAGGCAGGATTCACACTTTACAATGTGGGGCCCATACAGGAACGAGGGAGGCCCTCAGAGGCAGCAGGGTGGCTCATGCAGCCTCCAAGGGACCTGAGAAAATTATTTCCATGGTTCTTAGCCTATACCCTCAAATTGGGAACAACACCCTGGTGATTGGGCCACCATGACTGCTATGTAACAGACCATGGGGAACAGGGTTTTTTGAAGGG